TGCACGCTTATGCTCCTACCGGCGATCAAACCCATAATCACTGCTTTAAGAAATAAGCATTTTCCAGTAGAGACACACAACTAAAACTCAATGGCTCATGAGCGGTAATTTTTATTACTTGGTGATGTAACGACTTTCCGTGTTATTAAGGAGCAGTTGTCCAAAACTCTGGTTTGTTGAGCTGCATTGATCCAATTTAGGGACGGAAAATTCTTACTCTAAGTCCCTGTTATAATAGAGTGTTACCATTTTTGTGGTTGTCGTCTAAACTGACCGCAATGCGCCTCCAGTCTCGACACTATAGTCAACTGATCACTAGAAAATATTCCCCAGACTGAGGTAGGCACATTACCAGATTTAACTGCGGTAACAGCAAAACCCTTATTATATCAAATGCATGGTACATATACCGTTTCTACATCCAAAGAAATTCAAAACATAGGTCAACAATCAATATCTGATTGACTGTGTGACCTTGAAGATTCTCAAAAATAAATCAACCAGGAATTATCCAGTCAGGTCATTATGTCAGCTAATACATCAGCCATAACTTCATGACTAACAGAGGTGTTAACAGTGTTAGTCCATTCTAACACTTCCTCATTTTAATAGGTCATTACTTTTGGTTCCACTTGAATATACTTGGCAGGTCTGCGTAACCACTGCAATCATAGTAGCACCGGCAGTTGTGCTACACCTGGTTTTTTAGTTGTTTTTCTGCACAGGATATTCATGCGTAAACTTTGTTGAGACTTGTTGCTAGTTTCATCAGAACCTTCTCGTTTCTTAATTTGGTTTATATATCTTGACCACATCAGTCTTCTGACGTTCACCTTGTATGTCACTGTGCTTGTTTTTTATTCTATTACTCCTTTTGTCCATTTGGGTGCAGCAGTTTGAAAATGACAAACCCACACGGATACACCGACGGAGAAATTTCTGGGTTTGCCCTATGACCTTTATTGTATCTTCCTTCCATCTTCTTATATTTTGATTTTGGTTGTTTAAATCTTGGAATTAAATCATCCAACAAAGTACGAATTCTACGTCTGAATGTATGTTCAACAGGTGAAAGTCCGTTGATAGTCGATGGATTCGGTGTTGATTGATAATCCAGAAGGAACGTCTGAAGTACCTGTTTTAACATCCCTTCCTTCCTTTCAGAATGGTTAGTTGGAGTGTATCAGCAAACCTGTCTGACCGTTTAACTGTGGATGACACAGTGGATATCATACATGCTGAATGCTATTTTCCTGGCAGTAATGCTGGAACTGATTTGATTTAAACTGTGTTCCATTATCCATTCATAATAGTTATGAATAAAGTTAAGAAATCCACAGCGGACCTTATACGCCGAATGAAGACGTTTCTAGGTGAGCCTAAGCCCACAAACTCAATTAGAAACAAGCTTTGTCGGTTAAAGGATCCTGTAGAGCCTTTAAAACAAAACAATTTAGTTTATCTAATACCCTGCAATGATTGTCAGGTCAAATACATGGGTCAAACTAGTAGAACAGGGGCAGTTAGACTAGCCGAACATAAAAACCTAGCAGAATCTAGATTGGTTGATCCAAATTAGATAAGAAATCTCGAGGAAAGTTCAGCTATAGCACTACATGCAGTTACACACAACCATACAATAGGATGGGATAGGATGAAAATTTTAAAATCTAATGTCACAGGGTGGAGGGAGACATTGATAACAGAAGTTTTGTTTATCAAATCAACTGCAAATACATGTAATAGGAATGATTCAACACCTGTCCCAGATATCTGGAAAATTCTACTACCCCTACGACAAATAGGAGAAAACAAAGAAAACTATAAAACTCAAGTTCCGAAGTCGTTTGATTACAAGTGATATGATTATGAACAATAAATTTTGTTCGAAACGTCATCCAGTAAATAATACTAATTCACTATGTGATACATCTAATGGACAAACTAATATGGAAGTTCCAAAGATTATTTTAAAATTAGGGTTATAGTGTACTAGGAGTAAATCGGAAGTTAATATTTTCTTGACTCTCTCGAATGCACGTTGACAACCACTTGACCATCTCCACTTGGCACCCTTTTCCCACAGTTTGTTTGACAGTTTTCTTAAGTGATACATTTCTGGGGATAAAGAGCTGTAGAAACTGATTGGTCCTAAAAAGGAACGTAGTATATTGATGTTGTGGGGGAGTAGACGTCTTCTGGATGACTACAATATTTTATGGGTCTAGTCAGCGACCATCATTATCCACCACAGAACCAAGATATTTCATAGAAGAAATGAAGAACTCACACCTGTCCTCACATAAATAGAGACCGAACGCTGTACAACACACGTACAGACAACTAAAAAGCTCTCCACGAGTTGTCCCAGATTTAATCACATCATCTAAATGCTCTGTTACACCTGGAATTCCAATATGTAAGATATCCATGATTTGTTGGAAAATGACTGTGGTTGTGTTCACATCAAATGGTAATCTCTGATACTGATACAATCCCCTATGAGTGTTGATAGTCAAAAGTTTCGTCGAAAAATCATACACTTCTACTTATAAATAAGCATTGGTGAAATCTAGCTTAGCGAAGTATTTTCCTCCATTTAGCTTTGCAAAAATGTCATCTGGTATTGGAAGTGGATATGGATGATCTTTCAAAGCACTACTCAGACCAACGTAGAAATCTGCAAGGATACGTACAGCTCCACTTGCCTTCTTTACAACAGAATATGTGACAGCAGAGAAAAGTTTCATTTCGACTAATCATTTTTAAAAGTTTTACAGTAGTACAAAGTTATCAGAATTTGATTGGTTCTGTGAGTTCCTTGTTAAATATTATTACGACTGTGTAGCTCCTGAAAATGATTTATTGGAAAGAAAATTTTCCTCTCTGTAGTGTCTTCTTTTGTTTATAAGTTAGGAACTGCTGACCACTTCTACTGATTTTCTGTCATTTCAAGGTAGTAATGGAAATCAGGCTGACCGACCTAAGCATCCGGCTTTCAACCATAAAGTCTCATCTCCGAACCCCACCCTACCTCCTTCAGCCGAGGCAGCTGGATAGTATCGTCAAACCTCACACAATCACTATGTGGCTGATATCCTGGTACATGCAAGATGATTTCTAGGTAACTAAGCTCAAATAATTAGTTTCTTGTGATATCTATTGAATAAAGTATCTACTCAAACCATTTACTGTAAAACATTTGAAATTCGTTGTTAAAGTACTTCTATAGTGAAACGACTTTTAGTGTCTGTTGTGATTGTATTCGACGGGAGATATTGAAATGATTACCTCATAATATTATATTTCCAAGCAAATGTTCTGTCTAACCTTCCAGATTTAGAAGTTAAGACAATCATGAATCACTCCACGTCTACTTTTACAATTTGTTAACTCCTGCATCCTACCTATTGTATTAATTATCTATTGTACTTCACTTCTCCCCCTAAGTCTTTCCTGGGCTACTCAAAAAGGACTATGTCATATGACGAGGGGTATTAAAAGTTGTCAGTAGGGCAAGTAGTGTGCCAATAAGTCAGCTCGCTACTACTGTAGCCGATAGACGACTCCTGAACTCATGTGAAAAATCGTCTAAATCCATACTATCTGACTCTCAACACCCTCTCCATTCTCAACTCTGTCCCTGCATCTCATCAGGTAGGACTATAGGTCAATACAAAAGATTATATCCCCGTACAGCCAAGTAAAAAAACTCAACAATACCCTATTTGGCCTGCGTTCTATGTGATAGAGATAGTGTTAAGCGTGAAACCAACTGCTTACTATGTCATTAGCGAAATAATTGGCTCTTTTATCCTCTCCTACGAGAAAGCTGGTATTATCAATACTGGTTACGTTTTTGTTCTGTTTTTCCTGTTGTCGAGTAAATTAGATGCAATATTATACTAAATGCTGAAAATTACACATTGTATCATTAGCACTGTTTTGGAATAAAGCAAATTATTATTATTGCCTCGTACTACTTAACTATATTATTAAAAACATGACAGGTTACTATGATCGTGTAAATTAAAATAAATGTCGTAGGCCGTGAACCAGTGTCTGTTCATAACTACTATCCAGTAAAATAATATTGTTTTATCTAGGCTAGAGGATTAAATTTATTTGAATAAAGCAAGAACAACAGTCTGTGCAGAATAAAATGCTACCATCATTGTCTATTTCGTTGTCTTCTCATCAGCTGCTTACAGCTCAAAGACATTATTAATGTGATAAAATGTTTACCTCTTGGAACTGCGTAAACTACAAATCACGAATTAATTTTCAGACAGCAGATATGCTTATTCGGCTGCATTTGTTGTTCTTGCTTCCTCTGAAGAAATGATTCTGGATAACTCTATTTATCTTTTCAAAAAAACTTGGATTTTATGACTACTTAGTCCCAGATCATTTCATTGGTTGCTACTAGCAAAACTAATGTGAGATTTAAAATCAAAGAAGGCTTACTTTCCACATTTTTAGGTATATAAATTACCAAGAAATCAGTTCCTTACTTGTTACAACTCAAGCATCTCTTAGACTTACTTGTCTGTCTCCTTATAGTTTATATAGACATATCTAGACACAATCTTTTCGTATTGACGATATCTTTACTAATACTAGACTTGTGGGTTGATTGTCTACTTTACCAAGCGATTAGGAGACTGTCGTTACCTATTTTGTCTTGACAATTTTCGTAATAATCATAATTACTTTAAATTCACTTCTCTTTTGATGTTAATGCATTTGAAGTATTTATTGTGTACTGTGAGTTAATTCAAGTTACATACAACTCTTTAAGTAATAACAGTAATTTGGAAAATGAAAAAGGTGATACAGAAAATGCTGTGATCTGATTGGTTGAAAATATCTTTTGTCTATCTATCAATCTATTGGTACACATAGATATCATCTATTCAGCATACATCTATTTATGTATCCACTAGTTAATACACAAACGCAGAAAGAGATATGCTTACTGAACAGAAAATTCTTTATCAATGGGATCTGTAGAAGCTGATGAAGAATCACTCGATTATTATCATTATTATTATGATTATTATTTCAGTAATACTAGTAAAACAAACTATCCACATGACTCTATTGTCTGGATATATGCAGCTCCAATTCTTATCGTAATCGGAGTCACTGAAAATATTCTATCATTAATTATACTATTACGCAAGCATTTTAAAAACTTACCAAGTCGTTTCACCCTAATGACATTAGCTATTATTGATAATTTAGTATTATTTTTTGGTTTAATACGTTATTGGATAAATGGTGTCTTCGAAACACATCCGAATGAATGGAGTGAATTATGGTGTAAGCTAATGTCTATGATTGTTTTCACACTATCACATTTAAGTTCATGTCTTGTAGCCTTGTTAAGTGTTGAAAGATTCTTTGCTGTTCATTTACCGTATCATAAATTTATACCATCTATTGATTGCGCTGGTAGTATATTATTGATTATTCTCTGTACATGTGTTAATTTAATACATTTAAAGTATACAACACTTGAAGTGAATCAAATATTTCAAAATATAAATTTAACATTACCTGAACCAGGTCTACAAGCTAAACTGCATACGTATATCTGTGTTAATCCAAGTACACAGATTGCAATCCTTGTTGATGTATTTGATGTACTTATACTATTTGGACTGCCATTTCTTATCATATTAATATGCAATTCATATGTTATATGGAAGTTAAAAAAACACTCAACAAAATTATATCAAAGTGTAAATTACTCAAAAACTATTCATCCAATAGTCAGTGATAACTCATTATCTATTTTAGATGGTGGCAATGGACGGCATAGATCATATTCGATGATACCACTTCGAAGGAATTACAGAACAAATTCAAACCCTGAAAATCCAACAACAATATTCAGTACACCGAAGAGTTGTCAAAAAGGATCTACAGGCAAAGCGAATGTCACGTCTTATACAACAAAACGTCATCTACGTATTACAAAAATGTTGTTAATTGTAACATTCGCCTTTTTGATTTGCAATCTACCATTCGCTATTATACATGTTATTCGAACAGCGGATGAGACACGTCGATCATATTCATGGAATAAAGCATGGCTGATATCATACTTATTAGTATATATAAATAATTGTATGAATTTTCCAATATATGTTATATCACAGCCACCATTTCGTTCAGCATTAAAGGAAATGTTTTGTCGTTATAGTAAAAGAAAAACTATGACTCAACATCATGCAACTTCCCCTGTGATTGGTTAGTATACAAACGCATAAATATTTTAGGAATAGAAGCCTTATCTTTTCCTATATGACAAAGTTTTACAGAAATACATATATGTGTATATTTGAATTCACTTCTTTTGTTGTTTTAAATTTGTTGCGAAGATAATATATAAATATGCCTTCGAAATCGATAGAATTGTACTGAGTGAATTTCTGAAGTGAAAACCGAAACTTGGATTACGGTAAGATTTTATATTGACAGTCTTAGAGGTTACTAGTCTATCACTTTCGCTAGTCAGCCTACCAACTTGATGTCTATACGATCCTAACCACATAAGTATTTTTCTACCTCTCATGTGAATGGCTGAGGTTTATCTGAATAAGAACTGTTCAGTAGTATTCATGCATGATCCATCTGCAGCAGGACTTATTGCTTTAAGAAGTCAAGTCCAATGTCACTACTCTGCAGATTTTAGAGTAACATCATCTTTTAAGTAATAATAATACTAACTAGTGAATTATAATTATCCAACAAAAATGTTAACCTTCTCCATTTGAGTTTTCACACAAAAGTGCTTCATCATTCTACATTACTTACCAACTTCATCTAGGAAACCGTTGAAAGCCAAGGCGCACTGGACAGTTGTTTCGTCCTAATTTGGGGAATTCACATTAGTGTGCAGCCAACACTTCCGGGTTTTGAACCTAAAACCTTACGAGGTAAGCCCGTTGATAATTCATCTAATGCTCACTAGTAGCTGGTTACTGGATGAAGTTGCTTGGAGTTCTAGTGACAAGTCATGGCCAGTGGTATTCACCAAGTCGAGCGTGAGGAGAAATACTTTCTGATAATATTGGCTACCGGTAGCAGTATATATCATGGACCGTTGAATTCCGCAGACTTGAAGGTCCTTGGTTCGGTCCCTGGTGGGATCATGTTCACGTATTGCTGAAGAGTGCCAGAGTTAAACACAAAAAGCTGTTCAATACTGTTTGGTTTCCGATGATTCTCTTATTGATATCAGTTTGTAATCTAACCCGAAATCAACTAAATCTCCACAAACTAATAAATGAAAATCCGCTTGTTAAATCATTTACGTGGCGTAACTCTTTTTTATCGTCTAAACGAACGCATTCGGATCAAAACTTCACTGAAATAAAGTTAGTTACCACAGGATTAGTCAACTAAAATGGAAAATTAAATCAGACTCTATTGTTCTGGGTTATGTTGTTGAGATGTCTCTTCTACTGGGAAGAAGTAAGGTGTTATACAAGAGCTGTCTGACCATTCCATCGCGTAGTAATGATATAATTTGAATAACTACTTACTAAATAAAGTCTGAGATGAAGACAACTAGCACGAAACCTAGGTCAGGTAGGGCTTCCTGCCGATTGCCTCCAACCATCTAATATCATAAACATCACGTGATGCGAGTACCTAATTGAGATGAAGACAATTCATTTTATGAGGTTGGTATGACTCACTTAGTTCATAATGTAATAAAACAATCCAGAATATTCTGATGTTCTTATCACTTTTTGAATATATGGTGCACACCTGGAAATAACAAAAAAGAAGAGGTATTTTAAGATATTTAATGCAAAATAAATTGAATCCTTCCAATTCTACAACGTTTAACACTCATCTTCTACGAAAATCTCACCAGAAAAATTAGTTACTAATTAGTTTATTGATGTCTTCCATAGTGTCTAGTAACGCTGAGTATTTTATGTAGAGTACAAATTTACACATACTGCCTTTCTTGTCAGTGCATAAATAGGAACTGGAAAGTGATAATTTACGTTTACATTTGTTCAGCATAGTTGAAGGTTTGTTATTCTACCATGATTGTTAAGACAGATCAACCTACTGAAGAATATGAGATACCTTTGAATAGACGCTAGATTATTTTAATTTAAATCTTTCATTTACTTAGAAAAATCAAGAACCTCATTCTAAGCTACTGATCGGATGTATGAACAGTTATCGACATTTGCAACTAGAAACTGGGAAGCAGAGGATTTGCATCGTGAAAATAACATTAGCTGGATATTTGTAAAAAACCAGCTGGTATAGAACAGCCTTTTCAATGAGGCTTTTTCCCATCATCAGCAACCAACTATTTCATAACTACATTTTAATCCAGTAATCCTAAATTTGTTTCAGTTAATGATAAATTTTATTTGTGTAGTCTACTCTCTCTGGCTTAGTTCTCATTTCAAATAACTTTGTAGATCACTGTTTCCTGTTGGATTATTTTGTTTTGAACAATTTCAGTGTATTACTGCAGGATAAAACTTGAGACTAAATACTTCACCTATCCTACTGCATTGCTGTAAACAGAATAGAAGATTATGGTTTGCCTGAGAATGCCTTATCTAACGAATTCTATCAAACACTGCTGGGTGAAATTCTCTCTCTCTCTTACTCACATATGTATTTAGCACATGTTGCGCACTTAGGAGATAAAAAATTCTGTTGGTAGAGTATTCTTTTTGTTTTCGTGGCTACCTTTAAAAAATTTATACAATAATTAGTGTCTTCATTTTTGAATGAAACCTTATTTGACAAATTATAATTTCGAGTTTGACCACGGATTGATATCATTTAGGAAACCGTTGAAAACCAGGGAGTACTGGACAGCTGTTTCATCTTAGTTTGAGAACCACCGGCAGTATGCACCAACTGAGGTTAGAACCCACGACCTTCTGGTTACAAGGCAAGCTCATATATCATTCAGTCACTGGGACCCGATGCAATGGCCCATGAAATGTAACTTCTACCAATTCGTGATTTAGCGCAACCACCGGTACTTCCTGGTTTTCAACGGTTCTCTAACTGATATCAATCTGTGGTCAAACTAGTATAAACAAATTTAATGCTTACAAACCAAATTCTTGAAAATTGTAATTTTATTCTTAGTGGAAAACATAATGGGTGGTTTTGTGTCTTATCATGAACTACCTTGTCAGGAAAGTTCTTCCAACTTTTTGTAGATTATTTTTGAGCATTAGGGTATGTATATTTGATAGGAATTTAAAGAAGTCAGTGAGATTCTTCTTTTTTAAACCTTCTGAGATGCGGGAAATTAAAATGATGAGGAAAATTCTTACCTAAAATTCCTACCAATTTGTGCTGTTATGTATTTTGAGCTAGCTTCTTTAGGTGTGAAATTTAAAGGGATCTTCTAGACCACATCTTTAGTGCTAACTTCTTCAATGAGAGTTTCAGCATTAAAATATCCAGTTCAGAGGACACGACAGCATCTAAAACAAGATATAGCATATTGGTTATTTTAGATGGATTCCACCATAACATTTGAGTGTACCTTATTTCTGCCTTAGGATGCGTCAGAAGGTGCTAAGAAAAGACTCAAAAAAGGAAAATTGAACAAGTAGAATTTTTCCAATAACTTCCTCAACTTCCTACAGTTATAAATATACAATATTGAAAGAGTAACTGTTAATAACAACATTAATGGTTTTTAAATAATACCATGTTGTTAAAATCAACAGAATCACTGTTCAAAAGCTTGCGCTTTTGATAATGTGCATAAAAATTTAAAACTAAATTGAATATGAGATAAAATCAAGCAAAATATTTATGTGATAATTAAAGGTAGTCAAGGCGATGACAGCTTGTGTAAGCATTAAGGGAAAGGCGAAATTGTCAGATTTTGCAATTAAGTAATGATGAGCAAAGTAAGGAAAGCATCTGTACGAATTTCATGTGAACACATAAGTTCGATTTCTTCAGGTGAACTGCAATGGTTTCAGGTCTATGTAGGAGATGAGCTCGTAAGGCTAAATTAAGACTGGTCGGAATATAGTAGATAGCTTTAAATCTGACAATTTCCTCTTCTCTATAGGCCTTTAAAAAGCTGTTATTATTAAAATTGTTGCTTTAACTATCTTCGATTATCTAACTTTCTCCTTAATTTTATCAGATATTCAATTACTGTATTTATATGCATACTGTCACTCATATAGGCTTTTGAAATGTAATTCTAATCATCTTAATAACTAGATATTATTTAAAAAGACATCGGTGATGCCGGTAACAACTACTCTCTCAGTATTGTGTGTATGTCTAACTGTAGAGCGAGATGAGGAAGTTATCGAAAAGAATATTCTTTGCTCAATCTTTTTTGTTATTTTAGATGTCCAGATAGGATTTTCTGTTTCATTAAAAAAAATACTGACAAAATGTTTCATTTTCTTATAGATTAAAAAAAATAATATTGCTGCCTAGATGTGTCTTAATGTCTATAGTTACATTCAGTGAAAATATTTTCTTTTCTGTCAGTCTGTTCTGAGTAATTTGTGTATTATAGACTAGAAATAAATGTAATGAGCATAACAGACAGTTTCAGCTCAAACACAATTTTGTCTAGTAATTGAAATTCAAATCTGTTACGCAGCTTTCATACTAATTGAATCGGCTATTGAATAGCTTCTAATTTTTACTTCATTCCATTCTCTCTTCCTTAGGAAATTTGATCTTAAACTTGGAACAAAACTATGTGAATTTGCCTCATCTAATTGATTTTTACAAAAAGCCTGTAACTAAGAAGACAACCCTTTTATCACCAGATTATGCGGAAATGTCGACATACTCACACACACACACACAATAATCATATTGAGGTTACTACAAAGAAATAATAGAGTGAACAAAAACCTCTTACCTACCCAAGTTGAGATTTGTTCTGTTTTCTATAAGAAAGACAGGAAGTTGATGATTGTTTTCTGATTATAGAAACAAAATTAACAAAAGTAAGATGTTATGCAATCTTTATGCGAATATTTGGAAAGTTATTCTGCTTCACGTGTTTCCTTTTTCAAACTACAGATTCTCAGAATTCTAAATAAGGAAAAAATAGTTACCTAAAGGTGATATAATTGTGTACAGACTGTGTTTTCCATCAGAATTTCTTTCTGCTTCATACTGAACAAATACGAATAGTACTTCGACGAAGAACAGCAGTAAGTCGTGTTTGAGTAGAATAAGAATTTTTCAATATTTAAAGACATTT